AATAAGTAGAGAAAGGCAAATTAAAACACAGTAATGAGATATCATTTTATACCCATCAGCTTGGCAAAAAGTTAAAGATTTCCAATATCAGGTGCCAACAATGGTGCAGGCTGCATTGTAGAGCAGTGGGAACTCTTTTACTTGCCAGTGGTAAAATTCCTTTGGAGAAAAATTTGGCAGTATATATAGTAAAGTTGAAATGTCCAACCCAGAGTGGCCACTCCTAGTTTTAAACCTTAAAGAAGCTCTTGCACATGTGCTAAATGATACATACAAAATCATAAAAGCAACATTGTAAAAGCAAAAAAAAAGGAAATACCCAAAGATCAGTCATTAGGAAAAATTAATTTCTTACAATGGAATATTGTATAGTAAGTATTCTAGAGCTACACACATCAACCCACATGACTCTTACATATAAAACATAAAGCAGAAAAGAAAGCTGAAGACAGAATAATATTAATATCATTGATGACATGTAAAATTGTGAAAAACAGTACTATATATTAATTTAGGTATACATACATCTGTAGTAAAAGCATAAAAACATGAATAGTCTAAATTTTAGATAAATCCTAAATTTAAGAGAATGAAGGGGAAGAAAGGTATACAGGGGTTTCAAATGTATTTGTAATGTTTTATATTTTAAGCTGATCTGTGGGTCCATGGGTGTTATACTATTCTTATACTTTTATCGTGAAATATTTTATGAAATATTTTCAAGGTAATATTAATAAGTTATTTTAATTGAATTAGATACTTTGTTCAGAATATAGTATCATATTTGAAATGTGATCTGAAAAGTCAACAATAAGCTTAAAATTTTGTTATAAAAATAATCAGATATATGCAAATTTCAAAAATCTATGAAGATTTTATAATTTTTTTCCTGCTCAGTTCTGAGGCTTAAGATTTTATAATTTTATTCTGTAGGTTGTACTTTGCATTTTGAAGAGTCTAAGAATACATTCCATATCTTCAAATATTTTATTGTGGGCAATTTACAATAACATAGCCTGGGTAATGCCAATGTGTGAGTATATAAATTTAATTTATAGTCTACTGAATTCCTTTTTCCTCCTAAGCACCGATTTCATGTACAGAATATTGTACACATTGGGGTATTTGGTTGGTTAAATTCCATATACACTTTTAATGTTTAATTTTAAACTGCGTTTTTGGTTACATTTGTAGTAAACGAATGTGAAGCACAATTGGGGAAACTGGGATATTTATCACTTAAATAGCTATACTTCCTCAGCAATTGAAAAAAAATGGGCTACCTCTAATCTATAGACAATATATGGCAATATTTTATTTACTTATTTAGAGACAGTCTCCCTCTGTCACCCAGGCTGGAGTACAGTGGCATGATCATAGCTTACTCTAACCTGGAACTCATGAGCTCAAGTAATCTTGCCTCAGCCTCCCGAGTTGCTGGAACCACAGGCATGCACCACCGCCCCCGACATGTTCTCATCTTTAACAGTCCTGATATATTTCCAGTGAGACAGTTAAGATAACCTTATGTGTGAACAAACCAGTAACATAATAATAATAATGATAGCGAATGTTTATTGACCTATGTACCAGGTACTGTGCAGAACACTCTATAATGATTATTTCACCAATCCTCACATTATCCCTTGGAAATAGGGACCATTATTATCCTTATTTTGTAAGAAATTGAAGTAACCTGCCCAAGATGCCTAACTAGTAAGGGATGAAGCCAAAATTTGAACCAGGCAAATCTGGATTGAAAAACACTGGATTGGTCGGGCACAGTGGCTCATATCTGTAATCCCAGCACTTTAGGAGGCTGAGGCGGGCGGATCACCTGAGGTCAGGAGTTTGAGACCAGCCTGGCCAACATGGTGAAACTCTATCTCTACTAAAAAAACAAAAATTAGTCGGGCGTGGTGGCAGGCACCTGTAATCTCAGCTACTCGGGAGGCTGAGGCAGGAGAATTGCTTGAACCCAGGAGGCGGAGGTTGCAGTGAGCCAAGATCGCACCATTGCACTCCAGCCTGGGCAACAAGAGCAAGACTTCGTCTCAAAAACAAAACAAAACAAACAAACAAACAAAAAAAACCCTGGATTATGTTGCCTCTTTGTGGATTATGGTTGTACTAATAAAACATACATTTCTAGGCCAGCTTCCTTTTCAAGTATTTTGTACTATTGTCCTGTGTACTTAAGGTTTTCACGCCATGTGTTCTGATTTAGGGGTTTCAGACATATGGTCTTTATGGGTACTATGGGAAAAGGAGCCAAGAGACCTGGTCCCTTTCTCAACTGTCACTAGCTTGAGTAGCTTAAGATAAATCTCTGGGACTTAGTTTCTTCACCTGTGAAATGAGAACATTGGAGGATATTCCTCGAGGGCCTTTTTGACTCCAAGAGTGAATAATAATCCTTTAAAAGATGCTTATAAGGCCGGGCGCGATGGCTCATGCCTGTAATCCCAGCACTTTGGGAGGCCGAGGTGGGTGGATCACAAAATCAGGAGTTCAAGACCAGCCTAGCCAAGATGGTGAAACCCTGTCTCTACTAAAAATACAAAAATTAGCCGGGCATGGTGGCGGGCGCCTGTAATCCCTGCTACTCGGGAGGCTGAGGCAGAGAATTGCTTGAACCCAGGAGGCAGAGGTTGCAGTGAGCCGAGATCACGCCACTGCACTCCAGACTGGGTGACAGAGTGAGACTCTATCTCAAAAAAAAAAAAAAAAAAAAAAGATGCTCATAAACCAGGCGTAGTGCTGCACCCCTGTAGGTCCCTGTAGCTGAGGCATAGGCAGGAGGAGCACTTGAGCCCAGGAGTTCAAAGATTGCAGTGCTTGACTGGGGCGGGGTGGCTCACGCCTGTAATCCTAGCACTTTGGGAGGCCGAGGCAGGCCAATTGCCTGAGCTCAGGGAGACCAGCCTGGGCAACACAGTGAAACCGCCATCTGCATTAAAATACAAAAAGAAAAAAAAGTTAGCCGGGCATGGCGGTGTGTGCCTATGGTCCCAGCTACTTGGAAGGCTGAGGCAGGAGAACTGCTTTAACCTGGGAGGCAGAGGTTGCGGTGAGCCGAGATTGCGCCACTGCACTCCAGCCTTGGAGACAGAGCAAGACCCCGTCTCTACTCCTTATATGAAAATTAATTCAAGATGGATTAGAGACTTAAATGTTAGACCTAATACCATAAAAACCCTAGAGGAAAACCTAGGTAGTACCATTCAGGACATAGGCATGGGCAAAGACTTCATGTCTAAAACACCAAAAGCAATGGCAGCAAAAGCCAAAATTGACAAATGGGATCTAATTAAACTAAAGAGCTTCTGCACAGCAAAAGAAACTACCATCAGAGTGAACAGGCAACCTACAGAATGGGAGAAAATTTTTGCAATCTACTCATCTGACAAAGGGCTAATATCCAGAACCTGCAAAGAACTCAAACAAATTTACAAGAAAAAACGAACAACCCCATCAAAAAGTGGGCAAAGGATATGAACAGACATTTCTCAAAAGAAGACATTCATGCAGCCAATAGACATATGAAAAAATGCTCATCATCACTGGCCATCAGAGAAATGCAAATCAAAACCACAATGAGATACCATCTCACACCAGTTAGAATGGCGATCATTCAAAAGTCAGGAAACAACAGGTGCTGGAGAGGATGTGGAGAAATAGGAACTCTTTTATACTGTTGGTGGGATTGTAAACTAGTTCAACCATTATGGAAAACAGTATGGCGATTCCTCAAGGATCTAGAACTAGATGTACCATATGACCCAGCCATCCCATTACTGGGTATATACCCAAAGGATTATAAATCATGCTGCTATAAAGACACATGCACACGTATGTTTATTGCAGCACTATTCACAATAGCAAAGACTTGGAATCAACCCAAATGTCCATCAGTGACAGACTGGATTAAGAAAATGTGGCACATATACACCATGGAATACTATGCAGCCATAAAAAAGGATGAGTTTGTATCCTTTGTAGGGACATGGATGCAGCTGGAAACCATCATTCTTAGCAAACTATCACAAGAACAGAAAACCAAACACCGCATGTTCTCACTCATAGGTGGGAACTGAACAATGAGATCACTTGGACTCGGGAAGGGGAACATCACACACCGGGGCCTATCATGGGGAGGGGGGAGGGGGGAGGGGGGAGGGATTGCATTGGGAGTTATACCTGATGTAAATGACGAGTTGATGGGTGCTGACGAGTTGATGGGTGCAGCACACCAACATGGCACAAGTATACATATGTAACAAACCTGCACATTATGCACATGTACCCTAGAACTTAAAGTATAATAATAATAAACAAACAAACAAACAAACAAAAAGCGGGAGGACGGGAGCGGTGGCTCACGCCTGTAATCCCAGTACTTTGGGAGGCCGAGGCAGGCAGATCACAAGGTCAGGAGTTCAAGACCAGCCTGGCCAACATGGCGAAACCCCATCTCTACTAAAAATACAAAAATTTGCTGGGTATGGTGGCACGTGCCTGTAATCCCAGCTGCTTTGGGAGGCTGAGGCAGGAGAATCGCTTGAACCCAGGAGACAGAGGTTGCAGTGAGCCAAGACCACACTACTGCACTCCAGCCTGGCAATGGAGTCTTAAAAAAAAAAAAAAAAAATGGTTGCAGAGGACTATGATCATGCCTACATGCATGAGACCCAGTCTCTTAAAAGAAAAAAGAGGTTGGGCGCGGTGGCTCACGCCTGTAATCTCAGCACTTTGGGAGGCTGAGGCGGGCCAATTGCCTAAGCTCAGGGGTTCGAGACCATCCTGGCCAATATGGCGAAAACCCATCTGTACTCAAAATACAAAAATTAGCTGGGCGTGGTGGCACGCTCCTGTAATCTCAGCTACTATGGAGGCTTGAGAGGAGAATCGCTTGAACCTGGGAGGCAGAGATTGCAGTGAGCTGAGATTGCACCACTGCACTCCAGCCTGAGCAACAAGAGCAAAACTCCGTCTCAAAAAAAAAAAAGAAAGAAAAGAAAGAAAAAAGGGTACTTGCAATGATTCAAATATTCTCAGGAAGAAGAAAAGATTTAAAACTAAAAGTGAATGAGTATTATGCGTTTAATTTTGATGCTTTAAATCTTTTTATGAAGTTAAGTCTATAAACTTAGAAAATACCTCAGGTGCCCCTAAAAATGTCTATAAACTAGCTTATCAAATAGTTTCATATAAGGGAATTATTTAAAGAGTAAGTCAGAATAACTTTTCCTTAAATTGCTATGATAATCATAATGCTTTTTTCTTTAATCTTTAGAAAGCTGGAAATAATACCTAAGCCTACTTCTTGACATGGTATCAAAACAGAGCTTTTGCTGAGAGTTTGATTTATAAAGAAATTATGGTTCGACTGACCTTGGATCTAATTGCCAGAAACAGCAATCTTAAATCCCGAAAAGAAGAAACCATTTCACAGTGCCTGAAGAAAATAACTCATATAAATTTTTCAGACAAAAATATAGATGCAATTGTAAGAACTTTGAAATTATTTCCTGTTTTTATATAATTAATAATGTAAAGTTTAGGAATTGGTTTAGGGGCATACCTAATATATTAACTATATTTTCATTATTCTTATTAACTTTTTTTTTGAGGTAGAGTCTCTCTCGGTCTGTTGCCCAGGCTGGAATATAGTGACATGATCAAAGCTCACTGCAACCTCCGCCTCCCAGGTTCAAGCGACTCTTGTGCCTCAGCCTCCTGAGTAGCTGGGATTACAGGCATGTGCCACCATGCCCAGCTAACTTTTGTATTTTTAGTACAGATGGGGTTTCGCCATGTTGCCAGGTTCGCCATGTTGAGTTCTTGAGCTCAAGAAGTGATCCGCCTGCCTTGGCCTCCCAAAGTGTTAGGATTACACATGTGAGCCACCGCACTCGGCCTTATTAACTTATTTTTATCAGTAAGCTTTATATTGTGTTTTTATTTTAACTTCCTACTTGTGATATTAGATTTGTTAAAATTAAATCTATAAAATATACCATTGTGATTTTTAAATATATACATTTTAAATATTTGTATTACTGTTCTCCTACAACACTGTATAGTGTAGCAAACTAGATTTGAAAGTGTATGTTGGGAAATAATTTCATAGACAATAATTACTTCTGTATTATTGTAAAACCTTGAAATATGAATTTTTTAAGTATACCAAAATGTTAAGAAGTAACTATGTGAGTACCATATTTCAAAAGTTTATCAGTGAGAGAAGGTTGGGAAGGGGGTGAGGGATAAAAGACTACATATTGGGTACAGTGTACACTGCTCAGGTGAAGGGTGCACTAAAATCTCAGAACTCACCACTAAAGAATTTATCCTGGCTAAGCGCGGTGGGTCATACCTGTAATACAGCCTGGGCAACAAAGTGAGACTACGTCTCAAAAAAGAACCTATCCATGTAACCAAAAACCACCTGTATCCCCAAAACTATGGAAATTAAAATTAAAATTCACACAAGAAAAAAAGAGTTTAACAGTGAAATCTTTTTTGCACATAATTTAACTGGTTATGTAAATGTATGTTATACTGGGTCAATTACATCAGACAAGTTTATGTTTATCTGGATATAATCTGAAACTACATTTTCTCAGCACTAAGGTAATTCTTGGCTGTAATTTGGGAAACTTTAAAGGCTGCAATAACACTCTTAGGCCATCTGTGTTGGTATCTGTTGTCTACAGTAAATGCTAGACTACAGGTGAGATAAATTTTCTTGGAAACACAGGAGCTACCTGAGGGCAGAAATCATGTCTATTGTTTCACATCACTCTAAAACCCTCATCCATTACAATGCCTGACTCATATTACATGCTTAATAAATATTTATTGAACAAATGAAAGAAATACTAACACCCCAGGCAAAATGATCAATTAAATACTTGGTTTTCTTGTAGGGACCCCAACCCAGCTCCCATTCTAGATCCCCTTCTGGTTTCCTGGTGATCCTTCTTCCCATGATTCCTTTGCCCAAACCTCATGTTTCTCTTTTGTTGCCCAGAACTCTCTACTTCATGATATCATATAAGACTACTTTCTCTGGAGAGCCCCCAGTAAAGTCCCTATTTCATACTCTGTCCTCATATCAATCAGTGCTCCTCCAGGGTGGATGATCTTTGATAGGATGGCAAATTGGTTAAAGTAATTCACACTAAAATGAGAATAACTTCTAAACTTACAGTTTCCAACACATAGCTGTATTTTAAAAGAAGTTAACTTAATGAAGGCTGAGAAATTTTTGAGCAGAACGTCACCGCTTGTCTATTTACTCTAGGCTGATCTGCCATGACACAAGAAATGGCAGCCTTTTAAAAAATCCCTTTAATTATTTTATCTCAAAAGTAACTGGTAGCTGGGCATGGTGGCGCATGCCTACAATCCCAGCTACTCGAGAGGCTGGGGCGCTAGGATCACTTGAGCCCAGGAGTTTGACACCAGTCTGGGCAGACCCTGTTTCAAAAAATAATAATAATAATAATAATAATAATAATTGGTGTTCTTATTCATATAAAATACATGTAAAAAGAAAGAATGTAATCCTATTCAGACACAATCACTTTTAACATTTAGGTAATATACTTTCAGTCTTTTATTCATATAATTTTACAATAGTGGGTCATATTAAATGTACTATTTTCACTTAACTACATATTATGAATTTCACTTAACTATGTATTAGATATTACTGAAGAAACAAAAGAATATTTAATGGTTCTATGGTATTTCTTTTGATAGCATTATCATAGTTTTTAAAAAATTAATGTATGAGGCTGTGTGCAGTGGCTCACACCTGTAATCCTTGCACTCTGGGAGGCCAAGGCAGGTGGATCACAAGGTCAGGAGTTCAAGACCAGCCTAGCCAACACAGTGAAACCCCGTCTCTACTAAAAATACAAAAATTAGCCAGGCATGGTGGTGCACACCTGTAGTCCCAGCTACTCAGGAGACTGAGGCAGGAGAATTGCTGGAACCCAGGAGGCAGAGGTTATGGTGAGCCAAGATCGTGTCACTGCACTCCAGCCTGGGCAACAGAGCGAGACTCCATCTTAAAACAAAAAAAAAAATTAATCTATTATTCTGGATATCTAGATGACTTCCAGTTTTCAGTATTATAAACCACAATAGTTGATTTCCAATCCTACAGAAATATTAACCCCTATTTGTAATGTTGAGACAATAATTTATTCAATGCTTCAACTTCCAGAGGAGCCTAATGGCTTCCAAGGAAAATTGCTTGCACTGGGAAAATCTTAGCAATTCCAGTTTTATTGATATAATTACAGAATTTCTTAAAAAAAGAAAAAATATTACAGAATTTCTTTTGTAATCAGTCTAGTCTTATTTTAACTGTGCCAAGAACAGAGAAATACTGTTCTCTTATATTAACCTTAGGGAAATTTGCAGAATGATCAACTGAAAATTTTTGTTAAAAACAAACTTAAGTTTTCAGGAGAAATTACATTTAACATGTTTTTGTTTCCCTTTTAGGAAGACCTCTCTCTTTGCAAAAATCTTAGTGTTTTATATTTATATGATAATTGTATTAGTCAAATCACTAACCTGAATTATGCCACAAATCTGACCCACTTGTACCTACAAAACAATTGTATTTCATGTATAGAGAACCTCAGGTCATTAAAGAAACTGGAAAAACTGTAAGTGCTTTTATTTTTTAATAATGTATCTGATTTTTATGATTATGGTACTTATATTTTTTTGCATGAAGGCATTTCCATTTTTTGCATTAAATTCCAAAAGTAAATTGAATATGAAATTGATATGATTTCATACTTATATAAAAAAAGCATATGATTCCCACATGGGTTTTGTGGAACAGACCTCAATTTCTATTTTCTTGTACTATTATTAAGAAGTAAATTGTTTCACATATAATATTAATAATTTGTGTTTTATTAAGCCTGATACACCTTTCATTCTGGGGAGGGGTTGTCTTTTTTTTTTTTTTTTTTTTTTGACGGAGTCTTGCTCTGTCGCCCAGGCTGGAGTGCAGTGGCCGGATCTCAGCTCACTGCAAGCTCCGCCTCCCGGGTTTACGCCATTCTCCTGCCTCAGCCTCCCGAGTAGCTGGGACTACAGGCGCCCGCCATCTTGCCCGGCTAGTTTTTTTGTATTTTTTTAGTAGAGACGGGGTTTCACCGTGTTAGCCAGGATGGTCTCGATCTCCTGACCTCGTGATCCGCCCGTCTCGGCCTCCCAAAGTGCTGGGATTACAGGCTTGAGCCACCGCGCCCGGCCAAGGGTTGTCTTAAGGCCTAATAGGGATACTTAAAACATCCTCATGTGGGCTCAACTGATAAAAGAAGTTTCCATGGAACCCAGATGAGTTATGTGCCTTTCAGAATCACACATCTCATACCATCTGGGTCATATAATTGATCCTATTGATGTAAACTTGATTGTAAAATGGCATTTACTGCCTATAGTGATTATAATTAGGCAATGAAGACTAGTGAATCCAATTTCCCAGACTGGAATAACTATCATGCTCCTCAAAGAACCGGCTAAAAGCCTCAGAATGGGGACACAAGAGTTGGCTGGTGAATGCTTATTAAAAATGCAGAGCACTGGGTTCCAACCTACATATCCAAATTAGAATCTCCAGGGGTTAGGCCCAGATATCTTCATTTTTCCTTTTATCTCTTAGTTTTGAGACAGAGTCTCGCTCTGCAACCCAGGCTTGAGTGCAGTGGTGTGATCATGACTTACCGCAGCCTTGATGTCCTAGGTCCAAGTGATCTTCCCACTTCCGCTTCCTGAGTAGCTAGGTCCACAAGCATGCACCACAATGACTGACTGGCTGGCTTATTTCTTTATTTATTTAGAGATGGGATCTTCCTATGTTGCCCAGACTGGTCTTAAACTTCCAGGCTCCCAACGTGCTGGGATTACAGGTGTGAGCCACTGTGTCTAGCCGTGAAATCTTCATTTTTTAAACCTACAACCCAGAAAGGTTGTTATCAAACTATCTACCAGGGCTCTTCATATGTCAGATGAACATATGGTAGATAGTTTGATAATAACTATTACAATTCGCTTACTTTTTTAAAAAGCAAAAAAATGTACTTCTAGACTAAATGAAGTATAAGAATATAATTTGTTCTCATTTAGATAAACCAACCTTTCATAGATTTAATATAACACAAAATTCCTCATTTATAATTTTGTTCAGCTCAATTATTTTGTTATTACACTTTTGTCACGCTTAATAAAGACCATGACATTCTCAGAATGTCTATTTAGAACTATGTCTATGTTTTGCAGGTATCTGGGAGGCAATTACATTGCTGTCATAGAAGGTTTAGAAGGATTAGGAGAACTAAGAGAGCTTCATGTTGAGAATCAGAGGCTTCCCCTTGGGGAAAAGCTTCTGTTTGATCCAAGAACTCTTCATTCTCTGGCAGTAAGTTCACATTTGAATATTTTGACAAGGAATATAGTGATTAACAAGTTATAATGAAACAGGAATGTGGTGAAGGTATATTTGGACATTGTACATCCTCTGCATTTTATATGGCCAGCTCAGAGTTTATCTGAGGACCGAAGCTGATTTTCTCAGGTACAATCTCAGAGACTCAGCATTTATAAAATGGGATAATAAAACTTGCCTCTTTGGGTAACTGGAAGGATGAGAAGAATGTGAAAAGGTATGTTAACTGAAGTTCTAATACAGATGTTCATTCATTCATAATGTGGACCTTGGTGATTATCATGGCTCAACATTTTAAATTTTAGGAAAAAGCCTAAGGAGAGAGGAATGTGCAATTATTTGGAAACCTTTAAACAATATAGTAGAGAGCCATTGCAATAATAAGTTGTTTTCTTCCAGGATCCTGATTTGATTGTAGATTGTACTACATACAGCTCTACCACATCAGAACTATGTAGGCCTGGGAGCCCTGGGGTTGGGGCTCTAATTGTGTCGCCTGAAACCAGTCACATTGGATGGAGGTACCACAATAAATTGAGAAGCCAGAGGGTACCACTTAGGCTCCTGCTAATCCTCAAAACAACAGACTTATTCGGATAGGCTAACTTTAATTCTGGGGCAAGGGACATAAATGGGACATGGTAGTTGTTTTACAGATTTCATCAGTTTTATTTTATTTTATTTTTATTTTAAAAATAAAAATAAACTCTGTCGCCCAAGTTGGAGTGCAGTGGCACGACCTCTGCTCACTACAACCTCCACCTCCCCAGTTCAAGCAGTTCTCCTGCCTCAGCCTCCCAAGTAGCTGGGACTACAGGCGTGCGCCACCACGCCCAACTAATTTTTGTATTTTTAGTAGAGATGGGGTTTCACCATGTTGGCCAGGCTAGTCTGGGATTACAGTGTTGGGATTACAGGTGTGAGCCACCGTGCCCAGCCTCATCAGTTTTATTTTAGAGGGCCCAGAAATAGAGGATAGTGGATGGATTTTGACCCAAATTTATAAAAATTAAGAGGTAGTTCTCCCAATACTTTAGTATCAGGAAATATTTTTTCTAAAGGTTGACTGTGCATGGATGCCTCCATGTTTTTTTTAAACTTAAACTAATAAGAACAGATACTGCACTTGATCTTAGCAAAAAGGCCATGAAGCGATGATTGACTCCATCTTGGCAGAGATTCCTGAGCCTCGTAAGATGACTCTGATTTAGTGTTATAGTGTTACAACAACACTGAAATTCCTGTTAATTAGCTAATTATTATTTTAAGTAGTTCCTGAACATATAGATTGATGGGAGAAAACCATATAGACAAGTAGAGAGAAAAATAAAAACCAGATATTATTTTATTCTTGATCATGTTTCCTATTTAGTAAAATAAAGACAAAAACTATTTCTTCCTATGTAAGTATAAATCTTTTTTTGAGACAGAGTTTTGCTCTGTCTCCCAGGTGTGATCTCTGCTCACTGCATCCTCCACCTCCCAGGTTCAAGCGATTCTCCTGCCTCAGCCTCCCGAGTAGCTGGGACTACAGGCGTGCGGCACCATGCCCAGCTAATTTTTTGTATTTTTAGTAGAGATGGGGTTTCGCCATGTTGGTCAGGCTGGTCTTGAACTCCTGACCTCAAGTGATCCGCCCGCTTCACCTCCTAAAGTGCTGAGATTACAGGCATGAGCCACTGCACCCAGCCCCTATGTAAGTACAAATGTTAGTAATATTTAGCACAAAATGATAATTTGCTAAAGCTACAGTATTGTGTTACTTGTTTATTGGGGCATCTTTTTTCTTTCTTTGCTTTTTGATTCTTGGCTTTTTTATTCTATAAGTTTATTTTGTATCTTGGAAAAGAAAAATATGACTTATGGAGGAATTATAGGGAGAAAGGATAAGTTATATGACATACTGTGGTTCTAAAACTTTCATCTGAAAAAAAAAAATGCATTAAAAAGCATTTCATGGCTTTTGATGTTTTTGCCTAAAGAGTAAAACAACCTGAACTGATCAAGCTTAAAATTTTCAAAGATTAGGATTTCTGGTTCCTATATACAGTATTTAGACTACTTACTAATGCTAACTTGGTTATTTTTCTTACAGAAATCCCTCTCTATATTGAATATCAGCAATAATAATATTGATGACATTAGAGACTTAGAAATACTGGAGAATCTTAATCAGCTCATAGCCGTTGACAACCAACTTCTGCATGTGAAGGTAGTGTAAAGAGAAATTAATTTTTAAGATATTTACATGAAATTATGATTGAAAAATATGTGTTTTGAAATAGCTATAAAATAAATATATCACATTAGAAACTACTCTGGATTTTTTCTAAAATTAGCTAATGAATCCCTACTTTTTAATGTATTTGTGTGTATAATTCTGTCCTCTTATTCAGTTTTCTCCTTTATACTCCAATACCTCTATCCCTCACCAACAGAAGAAAAGTTTCTCTGAGACGGGAAGTATTTCTTCTTTGCATTATTTTTCCATCAAACTTTTTCTTCTAGAGACTAGATTTCTTGCCCCTTAAGCCTGATCTCCCAATGAATGAGTTTCTAGTAACTATGACTAGACCTGAACTCTCTCTTGGCTACTTCTTTTTGGGGAAGTACTTGAAATTATTCTGATTGAACTTACTCTAATTTGTACCAGCTATATTAATGTCATGTTATATCATATCATGCCATATTCATTCAATTATTCATTTAATCAAATATGTATTGGCCATCTACGTATTTGTCAGGCACTGATACTACTCAGCGTAGAACAAAGGAAGGAATATACGGTCTTGATCTTCAAGAATTTGAAAACAACGTCGACCAATCAACCAGTAATGAGACTACAATATGATACTGTTTTTATAAGTATTGTGATAGCCCTAACTCAGCCTAGGGCTATAGAAGGCTTCCTCGAAACAGTCATCCATGAGTTGAGCCATTGCTATGACCTTAAAGTTTCTAGTTTGGCAATGGAATGAGCTGTGGTATAATTTCTTGACATACGAACCACAGGAAGAAGAATGAGCTTCTTTCTCCCAAAACAGCTTTTGTTTCAGAACTACTTCCACACAGCCATTTGTTGACCCTAAAAATGTTACGTCGACCTTGTTTCCAAATTCAGATCTATGACCTGATTCGTCCCAAAGCTGCTATAAGCAATAGATAATTATGAAAATAAATATATGTATTCTAGCACAAATGAATTCCTCAAAATATCTAAAATGCCATTGAATAATCAGGGTGAATGTTTAAAATAAGAAGACCTTAGGAAGCACAACTCAATTAGTTGTTTCAACTTACAATGTGAAAAATGTAAGACATTCATGGGATAAATTCTGAATTAAAATATATTTTACATTTTATTTTATTTTTTTCTTTTTATTTTGAGACAGAGTCTCTGTCGCCCAGACTGGAGTGCAAGGCGAGATCTCGAATCACTGCAACCTCTGCCTCCCAGATTCAAGTGATTCTCCTGCCTCAGCCTCCTGAGTATCTGGGATTACAGGTGCCTGCCACCACACCCAGCTAATTTTTATATTTTCAGTAGAGACGGGATTTCACCAGGTTAGCCAGGTTGGTCTTGAACTCCTGACCTCAGGGGATTCGCCCACCTCGGCCTCCCAAAGTGCTGGGATTACAGGTGTGAGCCACCGCACCCGGCCCCTTTATTTTATTTTTTGAGACAGAGTCCTACTCTGTTGCCCAGGCTGGAGTGCAGTGGCGTGATCTTGGGTCACTGAAACCTCCGCCTCCCGGGTTCAAGTCATTCTCCTGCCTCAGCCTCCTAAGTAACTGGGATTGCAGATGTGCACCACCATGCCTGGCTTATTTTTGTATTTTAATAGAGACAGGGTTTCACCATATTGGCCAGGCTGATCTCGAACTCCTGAGCTCAAGTGATCTACCCGCCTCAACCTCCCAAAGTGCTGGGATTCTAGGCGTATGCCACTGCACCCAGCCTGGTAATGGCCATTACTTTTTTAAAGAGTTATTCTATTATGCTTTTTAACTCCAAACAGAGAAAGGGGAGTTTGATAACAGGGCAAAACTTCTAGCCTCTAAATGATCCCAAAGGAGGTTTTTCTGCGTGACATTAAGACAAAGCTGTTTTGCCTACATGATTACTCTTAGACCATGTTAATAATGCATACCCAGAATAAATGTGCAGCCAAAATAAATACCTTCATTATTGCTAATTATTCTATCTAATGACCAACATCTAAATCCTCTTTTTTTTTTTTTTGAGACAGTCTCGCTCTGTCATCCAGGCTGGAGTGCAGTGGTATGATCTTGGCTCACTGCCACCTTCACCACCTTGGTTCAAGAGATTCTCCTGCCTCAGCCTCTCAAGTAGCTGGGATTACAGGCATGTGCCACCACGTCCAGCTAAGTTTTGTATTTATAGTAGAGATGGGGTTTTGCCATGTTGGCCAGGCTGGTCTCGAACTCCTAACCTCAGGTGATCCACCTGCCCCAGCCTCCCAGAGTGCTAGGATTACAGGCGTGAGCCACTGCACCTGACCCAAATCCTCTTTAACGACTGAACTCCATATTATCTCCCCTATGTAGCTTTTCCTGAACCTCCCCATCAAGTTAATCTATTAAAGACTGAACTCCATATTATCTCCCCTATGTAGCTTTTCCTGAACCTCCCCATCAAGTTAATCTATTAAAAAATATTTACAGGCCGGGCGCGGTGGCTCAAGCCTGTAATCCTAGCACTTTGGGAGGCCGAGACGGGTGGATCATGAGGTCAGGAGATCGCGACCATCCTGGCTAACAAGGTGAAACCCCGTCTCTACTAAAAAATACAAAAAACTAGCCGGGCGAGGTGGCGGGCGCCTGTAGTCCCAGCTACTCGGGAGGCTGAGGCAGGAGAATGGCGAATGGCGTAAACCCCCAGGAGGCGGAGCTTGCAGTGAGCCGAGATCTGGCCACTGCACTCCAGCCTGGGCAACAGAACAAGAATCCGTCTCAAAAAAAAAAAAAAAAAAAAAAAAAAAAAAAAATTTACAGTAGTACCAACTTATATGTGAAGGCTACATTCTAAGACCCTCAGTGGATGCCTGAAACCATGGGTAGTATTGAATGCTATATATATTAGTTTTTTCTAAGTGTACATATCTATGATAAAGTTTAATTTATAAATTAGGCATACTAAGAGATTAACAACAATAATAATAAATGGAGGCTGGGTGCAGTGGTTCATACCTGTAATCCCAGCACTCAATCAGGAGATTGAGACGATCCTGGCTAACGCGGTGAAACCCCATCTCTACTAAAAATACCAAAAATTAGCCATGCATGGTGGCGGGTGCCTGTAGTCCCAGCTGCTCGTAGGCTGAGGCAGGAGAATCGCTTGAACCTTGGAGGCAAAGGTTGCAGTGAGTCGAGATGGTGCCACTGCACTCCAGCCTGGGTGACAGAGCAAGACTCTGTCATTTAAAAAAAAAAAAAAAAAAAAAAAAAGGAGCGGTTACAATGTCAGCATCACTGCTCTTGCACTTTGGGGCAAGTGAAATAAGGGTTGCTTGAACACAAGCACTACAATAACCACACAGTAGATATGATAACCTAAGTGACTAATGGGTTGGTAGCATGTATAGTTTGGAAATGCTGGACAAAGGAATAATTCATGGCCCAGGCAGGACAAACAGGCCAGTGCAAGATTTCATCATGATACTCAGAACAGCATCCATTGTACTCAGCTGGGCTAGGCGGCTGATGCCTGTAATCCCAGCACTTTGGAAGGCTGAGGCAGGCCGATCACTTGAGGCCAGAAGTTTAAGATCACCCTGGCTGACATGGCGAAACCCAATACAATAATTTGCCCCGAGTGGTGGTGCACACCTGTAATCCCAGCTACTCAGGAGGCTGAGGCAGGAGAATTGCTTGAACCCAGAGCCAGAGGTTGCAGTAAACCAGGATTGTGCCACTGCACTCCAGCCTAGGTGACAGAGTGAAAAAAAGAGTATCCATTTTAAAACTTACAAATTATTTTTTCTGGGATTTTCCATTAAATATTTTTGGATGACAGTTGACTGAGGGCAACTGAATAACGGGGTGGGGGGAACTACTATATTATATTCCACGTTCCAGGCACTGTTCTAGGCCCTTGGAAAAACACATCTTAGATACTGGAGATACATGATAAATAAGACAAAGTCTCTACCCTCGGCCAGGCACAGTGGTTCACGCCTGTAATCCCTGCACTTTGGGAGGCCGAGGTGGGTGGATCATGAGATTAGGGGTTTGAGACCAGCCTGGCCAACATGGTGAAACCCTGTCTCTTTAAAAAAAAAAAAAAAAAAAAGCCGGGCGCAGTGGCTCACGCCTGTAATCCCAGCACTTTGGGAGGCCGAGGTGGGTGGATCACGAGGTCAGGAGATCGAGACCATCCTGGCTAACATGGTAAAACCCCATCTCTACTAAAAATACAAAAAAATTAGCCAGGTGTGGTGGCCGGCGCCTGTAGTCCCAGCTACTCAGGAGGCTGAGGCAGGAGAATGGTGTAAACCCGGGAGGCAGAGCTTGCAGTGAGCCGAGATTGCGCCACTGCACTCCAGCCTGGGCCACAGAGCGAGACTCTGTCTAAAAATAAAGAAATAAAAATTTAAAAAAAAGAAAGCCTCTACCCTCAAGGCACTTACTTTACAGAGGTACAAGGGAGGAAATGGTAAGAAAATACATAAGCAAGGCCGGGTATGGTGGCTCATGCCTGTAATCACCGCACTTTGGGAGGCCGAGGCAGGAGAGGATTGCTTGAGGCCAGGAATTCAAACCCAGCCTGGACAACAAAGAAGACCTTTTCTCTACAAAAAAAAAAAAAAAATTAAAAAAGAAATTAGCAATTTGCTTCGTGTGATGGCATGTGCCTGGACTTAGGTACTCAGTCCCAGGTACTCAGGAGGCTGAAGTGGGAGGATCGCTTGAGCCCAGGACGGGATTCCTTGCCCCAAAGTGCAAGACTGCAGTGAAGCAGTGAACTGTGATCCATCCACTGCACTCCAGACTGGGTAATAGAGTGAGACCCTGTCTCAAAAAAATAAATAAATAAATAAATAAATAAAGAAAAGAGAAGAGAAGAGACCTAAGCAGAGAAGATTTTGAAAAGTGCTATGAGGGAATTAAATAAGATAACAGAAAAAGAGGAGTCAGTGGATATTTTAGATCAGGTTAATATGAAAGGCCTCTAAAGAAATGACATTTACA